CTGAGAGAAACTGTCTAGTAAACTCTCATGTGAGCAGCGATCCTGCTCTGAGGCATGAATCTAAGAGCAGCGAGCTTCGACACTAGAACACTGATGTTCTAGGACCTTTACCCAGCCACAAACGCAATGGCATTTTGATCCAGCATAGCTGGACAGTGGCAGAAGCCAGACACAGAACGTAAGAATTCCTCAAGCACACCGAGTACCCAGCACAGAGCAAATGATAGAACAAACAACAGAGGAGAGGATAGAAGTTTCTAGAGCTGGGGTTACTGTTGTTTAGTGGTCTCTTGTGAGGGACTGTCCTCTGAATCAAGCAACCATAAACTTGGGGAGTTCAACAGTGCCCCCTGATTATCCCAGCTGGGCTTGTTGACTGTCTGTATCCCCTCATGGATGTGTCGGGAGGGTCATGAGACCCTCATTTGTGATTGCTACCACCATCAGCTACCTACTGCCCACCCGCCGTATGCAGCTCTGCCTTAATTGCATGCAGGTTGGGAGGGGTTAAAATATCTAGGTGGGAGGACCAGAGGAGGTGGACTTCACCTATACAACTACAGAGAAGCCCTCATCTTTGTTGGTTGAGGCCTGATAGGTGGGGAGAGGACCTACACCCCTGTAAGTAGCCCCTCATCTGTGCTCTGTGAGGAAGCCCGATAAACTCAGTTGCCTAGAGTAGGCTTCAGTGAACTGTCTTGGTTTGTCCTTGGTACCTTAGCAGAGGGGGTAAGATGTGGCTTGCATTCCCCCCACCCCAGTGAAGGAATTTTAGCATCGTGGGCACAGTACTGTTTTGAGGAGGGTGAAAAAATTGGGGATCTGCTTGGGGGTGACAGGCAATATTGTGAACTCCCTGGATACCACTGGGTGGCACAGTATTACCTTGTCTATGCTTTATTATGTTTTAGGAAATTGGAATGGCAAGGTGGTATGGGCATCTTGCTCTTGTCTTTCGATGGGTTTGCTGCAGCCAGTGATGGCACTAGAAGCACATGTGTATATGGAAAAGAGCCCCAGGGATGCTGTGCATAAAAGCTATTAAGAGAAAAGTTGGGCAGTAGTAGTGCACACCTTTAATCTCAGCACTCGGGGGGCAGAGGCAGGCAGATCTCTGAGTTCAAGGCCAGCCTGGTCTACAGGGAGAGTTCTGGGACAGCCAGGGATATATAGAGAAACCCTATCTCAAGAAAACAAAAACAAAACCACAGAAAATTACTGTAAGTGAACTTCTGAGGTCTCATGGTGTCTGTAAAAGTGAGGGGGAAAGCCATGACTTTATGGGTGACCCCTTTTCTGTGATGGGGAGACGAGTATCTACCTCACTAGGCTGCTGAGAAGGTCTGAGATGTTGAAACCCACCCTGTGCCTAAAGCTCCACAGACCTCAGGGGAGGCCACGTGGGAGGGAAGGGGAAGGAAGAGGGCAGGGAAGGGAGCGAGGGCCCTCTCCTCACTCTCTGACTTAGAAAAACATTTTACAAAATGCATTCATATGGTGTCCTAGAACCCACCCTGGCGAGGGATAGACACGGGTGGTGACGATGGCCATGCTTGCTCGATTACTGCCTTCTGCCCTGTGCAGGACACTGAGAAAACTTCCTGGAACCCAGCGGGACTGAGTCCTGAGAGCAGTGAGGTACAGCGAGAATAGGCTGTCCTCCTTATTTCATGGTCACAGGGCGGCTGGGGGTCCCATAGAAAAGCCCAAGGTACAGCCAGAAAGCTGACATCACTGTTCTTTTAAGACAAAAACCAAGAACCAGATGTTGGGGAGACTAACAGTGAGTCCAGATGTGCCACTGAGTCCCCACAGTGAATAACAAAGCCTGGTTATTGCCTGCAGGACAGCAGCTGTTTCGGTCTGGGCTAGCTGGAGTCGAGGACTACTAGCCTCTGGGGAGAGAGATGCGGAAGGATTCTGGTGTCTTCCAGGCCCAGGATGGTGGTGCCTCAGGATTCCCACCGTGCAGACTGATACCGTGACACTGAGGACCGTCAGGTTGAGACAGCTGTGGAATCACAGCGGAGATCCTTTGAGCCCCAAAGCTACTGCAGAAATCTTTGGTTTAGCCTCATTGGTCACAGCTGGGGACACCTGGGGTTGGAGGAGCAGTCTCACGTGGTTTTCAGTTTGTTTAAGAGAGTCTATAGGGCTGGGTCTCAGCAGCTGGTCCCTGAGGGGAGAGTGGAGACCCTTTTTATTTGTGCGAGTCACTCCTTGATTGTTTTCTAAGGTCCTTCCTGTGGTTGAGGCTTGTCTCTGTGCAAATAGCCCAAATCCTAACCTCTCATGAGACTCTCACCATGCATGACTTTGGCCCCCAGCAGCTCGGACACAGCCCATCACTGGCACCTACTTGGTGCCAGGACTGTCCTGTCTCTGGACAGCTGTAAGTGGAAGTCAATCCCCGAAGGAACTTACTAGGCAGCTTGGGGACTGAAGGGGGCCCAATAACAAACTGGAGATAGCTTCACCCCCTCTGGGTCAGGTGCACCTCAGTTTGGTGTGCTCTCCTGGTGGTTCATAACAGTCTCTAACTCCAGTTCAGAGGATCTAACACTCTTTTCTGGCCTCTGTGGGCATCAGGTATGCATGTGGTGCATACCTTACATGTAGGCAAGACACTCATACACGCCGGGCGGTGGTGGCACACGCCTTTAATCCCAGCACTCAGGAGGCAGAGGCAGGCGGATCTCTGTGAGTTTGAGACCAGCCTGGTCTACAAGAGCTAGTTCCAGGACAGGCTCCAAAGCTAGAGAGAAACCCTGTCTCGAAAAACCAAAAAAAAAAAAAAAAAAAAAAAGGGAACGTGTGTGTTTGTATGTATTTGTGTGTTTGTGCATGTGTGGGTATATGTATGTATGAGTGCATGTGTGTGTATGCATGCATATGTGCTTATGTCTGTGTGTGTGTATGCCTCTGTGTGTGCATATATGCATGTGCATGTATATGTGTGTCTGTGTGTATAGCTGTATATGTGTGTATGCATGTGTATGGTATATATGCATGCATATGTGCATGCGCAGATGTATTATGTGTGTATGTGTACATATATATGCACATGTATGCATACATGTGTGCTTGTGTATGTATGTGTGGTATGCTTGTGTGTGTGTGTGTGCATGTGTAGAGGCCATCTCTGTGGGGGGGGGCCTGTATAGAGGCTATTTCTCTATGTGTATGTGTGTGTATGTATGTGTATGAATGTGTAGAGGCCTGAGCTTTGGTGTCATTCTCAGAAACAAGCTCCACTTCCTTGAAACAGTTTCTTACTGGCCTAAAGTTCACCATTGGGCTGAAATGGCTGGCCAGCAAGACTCGAGAATTCCCCTGTCTCTGCCTCACCAGCACTGGGTTTAATGATAAGGGTAGCATTTTTGTATGGCTTCTGGGACCTGAGCTCAGGGCTTCATCCTCTCCAGGAAAGCACTTTACCAATAGATGTATCTTTCCCAACCTGAAGGAAGGGTTTTAAGTACCACAATGACGTGGTCAATGTGTTCAAGGTCATCTTTGGCTACAGGTCAAATCTGAAGCCAGACTGGACTACAGGAGACCCTATCTCAAAATGTAAATGGTGCACTAGAGAGATGACTCACTAAGAGCACTTAATACTCTTGCAGAGGACCCGGGCGCAGTTCCCAGCACCCACATGGTGGCTCACGACTGTCCTTAACTCCAGTTCTAGGGGATCTGGCATTCTCTTCTGGCCTCTATAGATATCTGAAGGCAAAACGTTTATAGACATAATATAAAAGTAATAAATCCTTAGAAGGTACAAATAAACTCTCTCCTGTGCCCTTGGCCTCCCAATACGGTGTCCATGGTGGAGTGCCAGGCCCAGACACCTGGCTGTCTTATTGCTCCCGTTAACTTCTTTGACCACAGTTAAATTCTTTGCTGGACAACAAAACAAGGAGGAAATAAAAAATCCTCCCAAAACTCTGTTCAAATAACAGCCCTCTTTTCCCTCTGACCTCAGCTTCTCTATATGTGAGACCAGGAGGGCTAGCAGATGACCTTCCAGAGTTCATGACCTCTCTCTCTCGGGATCCCTTCTCTGATCCTCCAGAAGCTGCTAACCCCCTTCAAGCAGTCCCGAGGAAAGAGAAAAGCACAGAGTATCCTCTGAGAGAAGCTGAGACAGGCTAAAGGACCTGCCGAGTGAATCCCTTCCCTCCTCAGTCCTGCAGATCTATTTTCTCAGTGGAATTGGCTACAACCACCCTTTATTTTCACCCAGGGCTGCAGGTAGTGGGTGTCATGTATCAAGCTGTCAAGCTGTGGTCTCGTTCGTGTGTGGCTGAGACCGGAAACATGTAAGAACAGTGGTTTCCATGGCTTTTAGACCCTTCTGATTCCCCCTGCTTGCTGGGGATTTTGGGTCACTGCAATGTCAAAGATTGGGGTTTGAGTCTCTGGGTCTCACACGTACCTCATAGTTAATTTTGTTGGGGGTTTCAAACCCACTCAGGGTCTGTGTGGTTTGTCCAAGCCCCTCAGATTACAAACAACCATGCATCGCCAAATCCTGCCACAGCGCCCATGCGGCCACAAAACTTGCCTGCACTCCATGGCTTGTGTCCCAAGCACATGAAACAAAGAGGGCATCACTTGATATCAGATCCTGACGTGCCAGCTGAGCAGGTTGAACTTAGGAGACTCTCGGACCACCCTGTTAAGAACCACTCCTTCCCCCATGGTGTGAAGGAGGGGGGAACTTACAGACCTGTGCAGATGGATTCTCATGGAAGCTGAGGTTTCTGATGAGCAGCCCTGGGCTGGTGACAGCCTGTGCACGCACACGCACATACACGCACGCATGCATACACACACACACACACACACACACACACACACACACACACAAACACTTATAGTCTTATAGTCTGCCAGGCTGGGGCTCCTGGTAACTTTAGAAAGTGAGAAGAGGGAACTGGAGAGATAACTCAGTGGTTAGGAGCACTGACTGCTCTGCCATCATGCCACCAGCATGCTTACCATCAGATCATATTTATTGGCCCTCTGTCAAGCTATATACTTGATTTGTCAGGAGCAGAATGAGGGACAAAAGGCACACAGGAATCGGGGCACACAGAGGTTGTCTCAAACAGATGATCTTGTTGTGTCAAGGAGGGAGGTCCTTAAAATTCAGCGGAGACAGCCTGCTGGCCGCCTGCTGGTTTCCTGGCCAATGTTTGTGTTGTGCACCAGCAGTAGCTGTCAGGCTTGGTGACATCGGAGGACTGAGGCAGTGTGGACAGGGAGGGTCAGGGAAGCTCTAGTTCAAGTCTCAGTCTCTACTGCATATTATGCCATGGTGAATCCCCCTGGGTGAATTCAGTTGAGCACTTTAGGGTGTGCTATTTTGCTATTTTTTTTTTTTTTGAAACAGGGTGGCCTTGAACTCACAGATATCCACCTATCTTTGCCTCCCAAGTGCTGGGATTAAAGGCACGCACCACTATGCCTGGCTCACAAGGCATGCTGGGTTTTTTGTTGTTGTTGTTTGTTTGTTTGTTTTTTACCACACAGCCCCACTGCGGTTTCCTGGAGGATCTCCTAGGTAGCTCACGGGGGCATACTCCAGGCAGGTCCCTCCAGTCAGGTGGGGCAAACACTTGACATGGTAGAGGAATGTAATACTGCCATGGTTCAGGTTACAGGTTGTCTCATGGGTCCCAGCCGTGGGAGACCTGTCACAAGAACCGAGAAGTTCATCATTCCAGCCATTGTCAGCATCCCAGACCTGCACCCTCAGAGGTCCGCCTGTGGACAGGAGCACATCCCCAAAGTCCAGCTTGTCTGTCCACTTGGGGTTGTCATTGTTCCACACTGTGCTGGTCCTAAGCTCCTGGCCCCCAAAGAAGACCTTCACATAGGCATCAGAGGATGTGAAGTAGTCTCCCCACAGATGCTTTGCCCGGAAATTGGTCACCAGCAGGTGGGCCAAGCCCCTCTGGCGTGGACAGCAGTCCTGGTTGGTGGCCTTCGAATTGTGGCATACGCATTGGCATGAGTCCCGTGTGTTCTTATGCCGGCCTGCCCTACAGGGTCGGCTACAGTTCTGCCAACGAGCCCTGCTTACCACATAATGGCTGATAGCCTGTCTCAGTGCCTCCCGCCTCGGGTCTATATCTTCCACCAGCATGTGCAGGGACTCCAGGCTGTAATCCACCAGCCCAGGGCTGCTGACCAGCGAGGTTAGCCAGGTTGAGAACTGCTCAGGGGTAGCCTGGTTCCCGAAGAGCAGGTCACGCATGGAATCGAGGTGGCCGCCGACTACGTCGAATTGACGCTCTCGGTAAGTCTGGTGGAAAGAGGTGGACATCTTGTGCTGTTTCTTCTTCTCCTCGCAGGCTTTGTACTCATTGGAGGTGCTGGCGTGGGCACCGATGCTGACCTGGGCCTCCACGTTCAGGCAGTCTCCTACCTCGTCAGCGGTGAGCCCCTCCAGGGTCAGCTGACATGTGCGCAGGGCTGTGAGAACCGACACACGGCCACCTAGGTTCATAGCCGTAATAAAGTGGGTGCCATAGGACGAGATGAGCCTGTCATAAGCATCCTTCGTGGAGGTGTTGAAGTTGGGGGGCAGCCTCCTGAGTGCCCTTCTGAAATCGGGGTGCAGTGGGGGTTTTTGGACCAGGCGAAAACTGTGGTGGAGAGCAGAGCGTTAAAGGAGTCTAGTGGGTGGCATTTCCCTGACTCAGTTCAACCTTCAAGGCCCCTCCCCCATACATATACACAGATAGGAAAGTAGAATGGGGCTACATGGGGCTAGTTGGGAAAAGGGAGGGGTTAGCAGGAACTGGGATAAGAATGTGATTAAAATATATACATGTAGTGAAACCCATTGTTATTGAAAATTAATATATGCTGTCTAAAATTATAAAGAGTGTATATGTGGGATGTTGTGCGAACTGTAATTCGTCAGATATTGAGGTAAATGCTGAAAGATCAGAGAAGTAAAGGAGTCAGTCACTAGAGAGACCTTTTACCTCTACCGAATCCTCAGATCAAAGTGGGCAGATCCTGTCTCCAGGAATCCTCAGACTGAATGCTATGAGCTCTTGTCTCTTCCGCCTTAGATTCCTCTCTCTGCCCAGCTGTATCCCTTCCTATCTCCACCTCCCCAGTGTTGGGATTAAAGGCATGTGACTCCCAAGTACTGGGATTAAAGGTGTGAGCCATCACCATTTAGTTTTGTTTCTTTTTCAGACTGCTTCAATCTTGTGTACCCCAGTGTGGACTTGAACTCACAGAGATCTGTCTGCCTCTGCCTCTACCTCCTGAGTGCTGGGATTTAAAGTGTGTGCCACCACTCCCTGACCTCTATGGCTAGCTAGTGGCTTAGCTCTGCATTCTAATCTTCAGGCAAGCTTTATGTGTTAGATCATAAACAAAATATCACCACAGTGGGGTAAGGGGTAATGTGGGGACCTGAGTTTGGTCCCCAGAACCCACACAGTAGAAACAGAGAAAAGACACTCTCACAGGCTGTTTCCTGATCTCCACACACTTGCTGTGACACACAGATGCACAAACTAAATAAGTACATAAAAAAATAAATGAAATAGAAATAGTTTTTAAAAGCCCGAGAAACCAGTGCAGAAGACGTGGAGTCACTGTGTATCCATGCAGTGAGGAAGAAGGACACAATCAGATTTCCTCTGTTCTCTCTCCCTACCTAGGAAGGACCCCGTGGGAGGTTGACAGTGCCTGGGAGAGGGGGGTTAGATGCTCCCTGCTTGTACCTAAATGTCACCAAGCTCGAGTTCAGGAACAGTCTTCTTCCATCCTGTTTTTCTCTAGATGTGGGTGCTCATAAATAGAGGAGGCTTTTCATGGATGGATGGATGGATGGATGGATGGATGGATACATAGATACATAGATGATAGATGGATACATACATACAAACATACATAGATACATAGATGATAGATAGATATATACATAGATACATAGATGATAGATACATAGATACATAGATGATAGATAAATATATAGATACATAGATGATAGATAGATACATAGATCATAGATACATAGATCATAGATACATAGATAGATACATAAATGATAGATAGATACATAGATACATAGATGATAGATAGATACATAGATGATCGATAGGTACATAGATACATATATGATAGATAGATACATAGATACATAGATAGATACATAGATAGACACATAGATAGATAGGCAGACAGGCAGGGCTGTAGGATCTGTAATCTAAGGACCAGTGCCATGGTTAGTTTTGTTGACTTGACACAACATAGAATCACTTGAGTCCCAGTGAGGGACTCTCTAGATCAGGCTGGCCTGTGGACATGCCTGTGGGGGATTGTCTGGACGGCTCAACTGATGTGGGAAGAAGACTCAGCTTGAAAATGGGCAGTGCTGGTTCCTATTTTGGGGCTCTGGACTGTATACGAATAGAGGAAGGTAGCTGAGTACTAAGCATGAATGCATGCATTTCTCTCTGCTCTTGACTGTGGGTGCGACGGGACCAGCTGCTCCAAGTTCCTGCCGCCTTGACATCATGTGATAATGGACCGTCACCTGTAAGTGGGGCTAAAACAAGCCCTCTCTTCTTAGCGCTCCTTGGTCAGGACATTTTATCACAGCAACAGAAATGAATCTGGAGCAGTGGTTCTAAACTTGGGGGGGGTCACGACCCCAGAGGGGGGTGTGTCATATAGCAGATATTTACAGCACGATTCATAACAATAGCAAATTACGGTTATGAAGTAGCAACTAAATAATTTTATGGCTGGGGTCAGCACAACATAAGGAACCGCGTTAAAGGGTCACAGCATCAGGAAGGTTGAGAGCCACTGGTCTAGAGCAGTCAGGATTTGGTGTCCTTCTGTGAAGCCGTCTGTAGACTATGCCTCTGTTTCAGAGCTCCTGGACCCCTGAAGGATCCCACTACTCTTCCGGCTCCTCTCTCCCGCTGCACGCTGCCCCAGCTCTTACCTGTACAGGTGACACTCCACTGTGTCAGAATTAAAGCTGTACTGGTCCTGATGGGTCTTCTCGGCTGCAAAGTTGGCTACCTTGGAGTGGGAGCCAGCCATGGACACACGCATGCTTGCCTCGGGCTTGGGGTTCACATCCAGCCCCACACGCCAGTCATTATTGATGTTAGCAGCTGCATCCCGGGCCACACCCTCCGTCGAGCTGACTTTGGCCGCGGCCACTTTACGCTGGCAGCCTGAGCTGTGTGGCCGCCAGTGGGCAATGGCCAGAGGCAGGAGTTGTATAGCATCTTTTTGCAGGGCATTTTTACAGAGGGTGCAAGTGCGGTCAGGCCTCAGGAAATTCTGTGTGTTCACTGGGAAGGAGCCGGAGCGGCGGAGGGTGGTCACGTCCACACCTTCCCCAGCCAAATCTGCACCTGGCACGACGAACTCGCGCTTCTTCTTGCATTCCGACCAAGGGGCTGTGTAGCAGGGAGCGGGAATAGGTGGTGGCAGCAGCAGGAAAAGGCCCAGGAGGAACAAGTGCATGGCCTTGGAGCTGTGGGTACAGCTGCCGTGAGCTCTGGAAAGCTGTGGAGACAGGGATGAAGGATGCTGACATCACACACCACTCGGGATAGTCAGGGAGAGAGACTGAAATAACTCTTTAGTTATTGCATGCCAGAGTTGGCCTCGTCCATTGTGCAGAGAGGCCCAGAAAGGTTAAACGTATAGCCTAGAGTCACACAGCCAGGAGGAGCCCCAGGCTGAGATTTTACTATCTCAGACCTAGTGGGAATCAAGATTGATGACTCTGACTCCGGGCAATGGATGGGGTGTGGGGAGATGGCTCTCACTGTAAGAAGGGACAAAGCACCTATAATAGGTTTAGGCTTTAGAGAAGTGCCATTTTCTACCCACAACAGGGTACCTTTTCCTACCCGATTCCGGGGATGGACCCTAAAGTCTCATGCAAGGTAGGCAAGTGCTCTGCCTCTGAGCCACACTTTACCTCTTTATTTATTTATTTTGAGACAAAGTATCCTTTGTTACTCAGGGCGACTTTGAAGTCCCTCTGTAGCCCAGACTCGCCTTGAAGGTCTGATGCTCTAGAGGAGCTAGGATCCTAAGCCTGTGGTCCCAGGCAGGGCTCCTAGCTAATCCTTTCTCTCTGTGTTTCTAATTGCATCACTCACTTCTGTCTCTCCCTGAAGTGAGCTTCCTTCCCCTCTTTACACTTCCCATTTGTCTGCTCTGAGCGCCCTGGAAGGGTACCAGCTGCAGTGCCACAGTGAACAATGGCTGCCCTGTGTCTGTGTCCTTGGCTCTCGTGTGAGGGGCTTTGAAGTGTGCCTTCCCCTGCTCAGGTTTCCTGTCTTGACATTCCCCACCAAGTTCTTTGTACTTGGACTAATGGGAGGGACAGGCACCTATTTGTTGCCAACTGCTGGGCAACAATAACCTGGATTGTTGATCAACAATCAACTAGAAGGTTCTTCCTTGCTTTGAGATGGGTTAGGGGCCTGTTTTTGAGTCCCGGTCTAGCTCCGTTCCACTTCAATGGTTCTCAGCCCGTGGGTCGTGACCATTGGAAACCGTGTTTCTGACGGTCTTAGGTTCTGAGACACTGCTCAGGAGCAAAATTACAGTTATGAAGTCACAGCGATAGACTTGCTGCTCTATCTCCTTCCAGGACCCTCAGAGATCTTTCTCCTCCGCTGTCTGCCGTATGCAGCAGGGTGTTAGGCGAGGGAGTGGGCACTGAAGTGTCTCTCACACCTAGCTGCAGGCTGTCATGACCTACCGAAAGCAGTGACTTGGAGGCGGAGTTCAGGTGTGGGGCTGAGAGACAGAAAGGCAAGAGGGAATCTTGTCAAGCTTTCTGGTCATCCTGCTTAGGTGACCAGAACGCTCCTGACACTGATCCATGAACATCAGTTCCCTTCTGGAACTCATTGTATTGTTAGGTAATCTGTCTACAGGATTTTGCTTCTCCCTTCCCTTCCCTTCCCTTCCCTTCCCTTCCCTTCCCTTCCCTTCCCTTCCCTTCCCTTCCCTTCCCTTCCCTTCCCTTTTCAC